TTCCGTTGTGCATATGTTCCCTACAGACTACTAGTAATCCGTGTAAAACTAACATTGAGGATTCTGATTCTGTTTTTTACGTAATATTATTCAAGAAGGACCATCTGTTGCATCAGAATCGAACGGTTCTGACAAATAGCAGCGGTGCGCGATCTACAGTGATTCGGTTCTGGTGCGATAGATGGCGCTATCTCATGCTGCATCGAAAGTTGTTTGATCAATTTTTTAAACATTGTTCTTTTTTTCGCTCGCTTGTTATTTAATGTCCCTTATTTTAAACTGCCGGTTCGGAGCCGTTTTCTACATCCTTTTCATCTGAGCATATCATGGTGTGTATAGAGATGACTAGAAAACAATGTTACATAATATTTTGTCAAAAAAACTTCAATCGTAACTTTTAAGTACAGCTATGAAATTGTATGTGAATATTCCACTTTTATGGAGGAATGAAGGGAGTGATTACTTTTATTCTTATCCCTTTTCCTTTTCGAAAAAACTTTGATTTTCTTGAGATGCCATTTGGCAACAAACTGAGTTGAAGAGAGAAAATGATAAGAAAACAATCCGCCGCTACAATTCTTACTTAAGTGGACTGTTCACATTCAATTTTAGAGCTGTACTATTATTTTTAACAAGTTATGATTGGGGGAAAAAGCACAAAAATGCATTTGTTGATAAAAAAAAGAAACTGACTACGTTGCTTTTAATCATCTCTACATCATGAAACAATCGGATAAAAATTATTAAGAATGCTCCTCCGGACAGGCTGTTGAGAAAAGCGACACGCGACGTTAATATTTTTAGTTCATTTTGAATAAAAATCGTTCTTTTAACCCCCCCCCCTCTCTTAAGCTGTCAGTTTTTGAGATATAAGCGATTTAATATTGAAAAAAGTGAACAAAATATGTCATCTTCGACCCTGAAAAACGGTGTGAACGACAATTTTAATGTTGTCATTAATAAAATCTGTAATCATTTCAAGGGGTATTGTTATTGTAAATCATCATTTTTTAATTGTTAATCAATCGCGCTCAAGCAAAATATACATTGAGAAAACTTCATACGAACATTTTTTTGTCCTAACTTGAACCCTATAGAACTCGTATAGGCAGCAATGAAATCTCACGTAGCATGTCTCAATATCGATTTTAAATTTTCTGCTGTTTTAAAACACTGCGAAGAGTTTTTTAATACATTTGGCAGTGATGGGTGGAAAACGAGATGCGAGCATACAAAGAAGCTTGAAAAATAATTTATAGAACGCGAGCTCGCGGTTGATAGAGTTGTGGATGAATTCGTTATCAATTTAAATCAAACTGACAGTGATAATGATTTTTTGGAAACTGAAGTTGAAAATTCAGAAGGAGAAGAGGAAGATAGCAGAATTTTGGGTGTAGAATCAGTAGGAGACTCTATAGTGTATGAAACCAATTCTGATAAGACGTACATCAATGTTTGAGGCTGATTATGATAAATGAAAGTGTTTGCAGATTAATTCCTGTGAGATATAAAGTTCTAGTCAAATGCCAAATTCCGATGTCTTTTATAAATTTATCTCAGTGTAGTTAGTAAGCGAAGTCAAGGGGTTGTCTAAGAAGGGTGAATTGTAATCGTAAAATAGGTAGCCTTTCATCAAATTAAATGAAACAACAGAAATTGGCACGTTGTAACTGAACTTGCCGCGCCGACTGTACTTCTATATCCGTCGGCTATTACCGTTTCTTTCAGACATCCACCGTCCCACTCTGTTTTCTGCGCATCTCGCCGCTCAAGCTGGATTTGCCGACCTGTAATTCTTTCTTCTTTGGATTGTCCTAGCGGCGCACGCGCGACAACTCGTATTCACCATAAAATAAAGACAACCCAAATATCTCTAACGCATAGTAGGCCATAGCTGATGTCATATCTACTTCGGAAGTGCATTACATGTTTTGCATGGGTTTTCAGTAGGTCTATGGAAAAATTTGACGTAACGAAATGTTACAAGGATATAGTTGTTTTGGTTCTATTGTTTATGGTTTTTCAGCAAGTTCACACAAGGGCGTACCCAGATCGAAACGAAAAACGGATGTTTCACGAATCAAATCTACCTAATTATGATATTTTTCTGTTTGCATTCCATTATTTTATCCATATAATTGTATATCGTGACTTCCACGATGTTTTGACAATTCATTTGGATATGAAAAACTACTAAGATTACCTTTTGCAACATTCAAGCAAATATTGCACTAGATGCTACTTAAGTAATAATTTAGTCGTTTGAAATACTTGAGATAATACAGTATGGCCGATATGTAACTGACATTTTTTTTCATCTTAATAATTTATTGAAATTTAGAAACTATGTATGCAAAATAATATCAGACAAATGTCCGCCTCTAGAAGCCGCGCAAACCTGAGCCCTCTTGATTACATGTTCCACCACTTTGGTAGGTTTCAGGAGGAATATTTTCAATTGCTTCCGTAATATTGTTCTTCAGCTGCTCAACAGTATTTGGTTTGTTGACATAAATCATATTTTCAAAAAATCCCCATAAAAAAGTCAAGAGCCGTTAAATCCTTTGACCTTGGTGGCCAATTGACATCACCAAATCGAGAAATTAAACGTCCCGAAAATACTGTTCGCAAAAGATTCATTTTTTCCCTAGCTGTGTGACAAGTTGCTCTGTCCTGCTGGAACCACATGTTTTGCAGGTTAAATTGTTGGATTTGAGGAGCGAGAGTTTGCACGATATCACGGTAGCGCTCGCCAGTGACAGTAAGAGAATTATATGCAGCGTATTCAAAGAAGTGCTGTCCAATGACACCTCCATACCAAACACCGCACCAAGCTGTGACTCAACGAGGATGTAGTGGCCGTGGATGGATGGCACAACGGTTCTCTAATGCCCAGATACGACAATTCTGCTTATTAACAAATCCGTTCAAATCGGCTTCATCGCTCATTATCAGTGGTCGGTAAAAATCGTAATTTTGGGTATTAAGCATGACTGTATTGTCGGCGACTTACATGGTCACTAGGCTGTAGTTCTAGGGTCAACTGAATTTTGTATGGCCGCAAATGCAAGTCTTTTTTAATAGTGCATAATGACGTGCGACGAATACCCTGTTCTTGATAACGATGTCTGGTAGACGTCTCAGGGCGCTCCAGTACACTTTCATGAACTCCGGAGTACGAACAGTTCGGACACGGCCCGACCTTGGCAAGTCTTTAACTTCACCTATTTGTTCAAATTTCCGCACCAACTGACGAATGGTGTTGACACTGAGCACATTATTTCTACCGAAATCTTGACTTAGCTTCCTAATCGTTGCAACTATCAACTTATTATTTAAGTAAAACGTTTTAACAATACGGACACGTTGTGGGATCGTGTAGCGCTCCAACATAGCGCGCAATTTAAATCAGTCAGTTATATATTGGCCACCCTGACTATGACAAATGTTTGCTATACTGCAAATTTTATGTTCTTATTTTTTGGGCGTATGTATCCCTCAAAATTCAAACAGGGTACCCATTTTTTCAGTCAATCCAATAGCCAAAGAAGTACTGTAATCGCGAGAAAACTGCGTTTTTTTTTGCAGAAAAAATATTTATAGTTTTTATTAATCGGTCCCGTTGCAATAGAGTAACCGTCAGAAAAAAAAACCTAATGTATTGGTCCTTCTATAACTTGGAAAGTATCACTGGATTTCGAAGAAATTTTGGAAGGCCTATTTAATGGTACCAGTTTTATGACCAACAAATCTATAACTCCCGTAAACTTGACTATATTTTTGTTCGTTTCTTTTGAGCGCAATAAAAAATTTCCTTAGAGGAGACAAAAACTCAGCAAGAACTCAAACTTTGTTCATATATTTTATGTCAGAGTTTATTTGAAAGATTGCGAAGTCCGGCAAATATGAAATAGTAGCCAAAAGATAAAGCCTTTGTAGTGATTAACATAGTCGCCATTTTTTCTACTCATCTTTTTAGACGTGAAATCCACTTTTGTACTCCCGCCTCACGGAAGCCCGCCGCCAGCCTGTTTAAAAACTTGGTAATTGCCCCTTGCAACTCCTCGTCCGTCTCGAACCGTTGACCGCCTAGGTGCTCTTTCAATTTTGGAACGCTTTGTCAGGTCCGTAAGGAGGGTGGGCAGTGACTTCCCAGCCAAATCGCTCGATTAAATCCTTCGTTTGTGGTGAGACATGAGGATGCGCATTGTTGTGAGTTTTCCCCTACGTCGATTTTGGATTGCCCGTCTCAGCTTTTTCAGAAGCCTCAGGAATTTCAACCGCCTGTTCCCGGATCGTGATTCGCCGATCTTCGGAGATCGACGGCCTCCCGCTTCATTGTTCACCGAACACGCGGCCGTCAGATTTGAGGACATGTCGAATGCTTATACACGTTTCCTCATTATACTCCACCCAAGTGGCGATTAATTTGCGTGCAAAAATCATGACCGCACGAATTTGGTATCTGGCGGTGACGGCGCATGGCTGTTTGGCCGGTTTAGAGCATCACAAATAGGCGCTTCTTATTGGGGTCGGTGGTGGGGGGAGCCGAAAACATGACCCTGTTGCCAGATTTCGCCTAGCATCACGCGCGGCAAAGATCTAGTGTTGGGAACTTCATTTTTGAGACAATTCTCGTAGTTTGAGTAAAAAATGTAGGCAGCCTTTAGGAGAGGAAGTATTGTAATTGCAAAGAATTCAGAAATTTTAAATATATCACTACTTCGTAATACTGTATCTCTGAAATGACTGCTCAGATTATGGTGCGGCTTTGACAAAACTTTGGAAGGACGAAAAATCTTTGTATATTTTAGAAATCAGTCCAGAGCTGGCGAATTTATCAGCGAAAAAACACTTTCACACAAACGCTTTCAAGAACACTTGAATTTCTGACATTTTCCATCCTTCTGGTGACAGAGCTGTAAAAACATTTTCATCATTTAATTCGTGGAAAATGTTGCATCAAAAAGATTTTTCTCTACCAAAACTTTGATTTTCAGATACGCCCACGCTCTGTGCGATATTCGAGTGAGTATAAGGTCCGCAGAAGCGACAGAAGAACGTATGTGGTCAGATAACGCTACGGTAACTGCTAGGACAGAAAGTGATATACCTGATGGGCCACCCGATTCAACTTATGGCAGTTTTGAGATCGTATCACATGATCTCACGAGACACGTTTACATATATTGGAAGCAAATAAAGGAGGAGCAGAAAAATGGACAGAACTTTACATATGTTGTCGAGGTTGAAGGGTTTCCAAATATGCACCCTGTTGAGCTGACAAGGGCTTACGCAAAATTCGAAAATTTGGAACACAGAGATTATTTCATACATATCAGGTCTAAGAATGAAAAAGGACAATCTTTAAGTAGGTCGACGGTGCATATCCCGAAAGAACGTAAGTACAATTACGTATATTTTTATAGGTTATTTCCAAAGTTATTTCTTCTTGCATTGACAATTGACCACCACCTTGAGGTGTCAATGTTGCCATTATTTGGACTGTTACCTCAGGTTATGGGATTTCCCTTTTCGTCGTAGAGAAATTTTGAGAATACGAAATCTTAGGTGTATGTAATTACAAGAGGCGTTGTAGGATGACTTTTCTTGGACAGTTAATGTCATGTCTAAGAATAAACCGTTTTCTCCAAAAGGAAAATAGAATCTGTTTTTATTACCTGTAGGGTAATTCCTGTAAGTCTGATTGGCAACAAGGTTGTGAAGATGGAAATCGTATGAACGTCCAAATATATAGAACGGAGTTGGACATCTTGTTGGAAAATAAATTAATCAATGCTTCTAATAAATGAAGTGAAGCTGGAAATATAACAAAAAATAAGTGTACTTTTCAAATTATAGTTTAAATTTACACCCTGAGATGATCTTTTAGGTCCCATTACTACAAATTTCATTTTTTTCTTAGGCGGAGTGATTGCCAGTGTCATTCTACGTAGTGACAGCAAGTAACGTGAACGTGTTTATTAGGTTCACAATAAATTAATGTCCAAACTGCCTTCGTTGAGCAAGCTTGACATCTTAAAAATGATCGGGTTATAAGACGGGCGAATCTTCCGTTATTATCAAATTCAGCTAAACTTTCGATTGGCTTCGAGTAAACTTCTTCCTTCACCGCTCGTCAGTACAAAAAATCGAGTGGATTTAAGTCAGGTGAACGGGCTGGTCACGAAATTATACCAGAACCGCCTTGTCCATTTGCTTGGGTATTCCTCATCAAGATATTGTCTAACTGAACGGGTATAGTGCGCTGATCAGGTATCTTACTGGTATCACATGTCTCTGTAGATGCTAAGTGGCATGTCTTCCAATAAACATTGTTAAATGATTTTGTAAAAAGTCTCAACAAATTTCGCCATTCAAAAACTCTGACAGCTCAAAGGGGACAATGATTCTCCCATTTAGAATCCCGGTCCATATGTTTACTTTAAAACGATACTTTGATCTATTTTCTCTCATCAAATGTGGATGCCACTCGTGTAAGTTGTATAGATTCATATAAGAATTTTCTCGAAGAATCGCGGATCTCTTCGGTGTCTCTGTAACATTGTTTGATAAAACTCAACTCTTGAAAGATAATGCTGGGGTTGTAGAGGCGCTGTCCTTGGTACAGATGGATTTCGCAAGATTCAGTGGGCTGTTGTTTTGGGGACTCCCGTGCTTGCTTCTGTTTGACGTACTGAAGTACTCGGAATTTCTTCTACTGCATATATTATCGTTATCGTAGCGAAAGGAAATTCTTCCTTCACGATGTACTTGATTTGAAAATCGTCCCTTAGAAAGTAAACTTTGCACATTCACAAAAACTTGGTGATCGTGATGACGATCAGCATTTGGGTACCTCTCACGATAAATCCTAGCGACAGTACAAGCATGCATCTACACTACCGTTCAAAAGTATTTGAACATCCAGAAAACAAGGAAACTGATGGAAGTTATTAAAGAAAATATCTGTATGAAACATTTATTTTCTTAATTCTTAACAACATACAACTATTTCTAATCAAAATAATCATATTTTTGACTCATCCTCCTTTAACGCGTAACTAATTTTTCTAAAGTGAATGAGGTTACTATTCTCCATAAGTGTTATTGAGATGTAGGACAAAATTTCCGTACTCTTCTGTCCAGTTCATCCCACAGGAACTCTATCGCATTCAAATCCGGGGATTGGGGACGCCATTGCATGACTTTCAAAATATTTTGTTCTTCTTTTGCTTTTCCATAAATTGTTTACAGGGCTTGGATGTGTTGGTGATCATTATCACGCTGAAAGACAAACCCCGGACCAATAAGATTAGTCCCAGAAGGCACAACATGATTTTGTAGTATGGCTTTGTAATCTTCCTTATTCAGTATTCCTTGTACTCTCACAATATCCCCCAGATCGGAATCACCAAAACAGCCCCAAATCATTATAGAGCCTCCACCATGCTCGACAGAAGCGACGGTGTATGATTCTAATGCCCTCTCGTTCGGCCGACGGCGGACAAATACTGTTCTCTTGGAATCAAAAACTTCAAATTCGGATTTTTTTTAATGAAGAAGTTTATTTAAACACTAAGTAGTTACCATAAATTACAACTCAATACTTAACTAAACTATATTATTCAATTATGTGGAGTGGCCCAATCTGCTCTACCAGACGCAGCTTTTTTCGAATATCTCTCGTGAGGTCCTGGACTCAATTCAGATCAATTTCTGTTTTTCGTAAATTCGCAGTCTTAATTGTTCTTCGTCTTGGGCTTCTCAGCCTCCATGATAAACCTTTCTAGACAGTAAAGCCCAAAAATCCTCTATTGGGCGAGCCTGCGGCAAGTTTGGAGGATTATCGTTTTTGGGAACAAAATCTTGTGTTGTCGAAACTAGTTTTGAGTATCTCTTGAGTAATGGCCAAGGTGCTCGTGGTCATCTAAAATAATGATTTTTCTATTGGCAAAGTGTACCCGCCCCAGTTGACGTCTTGGTATACGAACGAGTTGCGCTTGAGAGTATTTGGGGCACTTAAGTCTTCCGATATTTAACACTATTCCTCCTCGGTTCCAACGATTTCGTACTTTTAGAAGATATGTATTGATGAGCCAGTCTCCTTGTTGACCTTCCAACCTGATTTTTTGCTCTTCTCACCAATCTCTCTGACCTCTGTGCACTTTTTGGCAGATTCAGACATGGTATTCCCTGCTCGCACTCCGCTATTGTTCCACGATTTCTTTATACTTGTCTGATAACTATTATGACTTGGCCTATCTCCCGTTTCGGGCATGACCTCGACTTCTGGGTCACCCTGTAAATTAAGAATGTACAAACAACGAACGACTTTTTAAAAAAGCGACTTTATTTAACAGAAGACGAATGAGTACTGGTCACCTTGGTTTACATGCATCTCTTACTTATAACCTACGCTAGAACAAAGGAATCGAAAAGTGCAAACCTAAGCAACTCTACATATTAGATCATCATCATAGCAGTGCCGTAATTCCTCCCTCTTCAAGAAGATTGAACCTCCTGGTTCAAAGGAAAAATCTGGTTAAGTTCAGTGTCATTTTTGACTGATTGATTTTTTAGTTCTTTTTGCTTCAAAAGAGAGAGCAATTGTTTTTTTAAACAAAGTATAATTACAATAAATGTTAAAATACATAAAATAGTTACAATGCTTAGCGTGGACGTTTTGTCTGAAAAATCTAAATTTTTTAATTTATCGTGTAATAAAACATTATTCAATTGTATATCCGAATAACCCTTTACATCAGTATTTTCAAATAACATATTCTTATCATAGTTCACCATAATGTTAGGTATGTATAAAGGTTTCGAAATATCAGAAATCTTCAAATACTCAGTATGATCAATAAATGTTTTACAGTTTAAGCTGATAATAAAAGAGGAATCAATTTCTTTTCTTTCTTTGGTACAATCGTCATATACTGGAATATTCTTGTTAGTATTCACTAAATAGTTATCATGTTTTAATTGAATTACTTCTGAAAATGAACCTTTTGTCAAGAATGTACAATTTTTTATTACTCAATAATTTGCATTCATCACAAAAATGTATAGTTTCATTTTCGATAATATTTTTATGTTTCAATACCAGAATATTATTTTGGTGTATAATGGGTATAATTGGAATATATAAAGTTACCAGTAACTGTTGGTATGTGAAGAACAAATATGATTTCTTCTTCGAGGACTATAATACTTAATTCACATAATTCGAAAAATTCAAAATTGTGCAGTTTATCGAGTGGGAGAAGTTCATTTTTGTCAAATAGATCACTTAATAACGAATGGATATAATTAATTTCAGTCTTACTCAGCTGTAAGAGATTTATGACCTGATTTGTGCTCAGGTTAATGGTTAACAGTAAGTGTGATAAATAATTAGAAAATCTTTGAATAATTATTATCTCATTCAAGACATACTGAGAATTAGCGTATTCGCTATGCAATTTGTTGAGGTTATCCAAATTATCTCTCAAATTTTTCTTTATAATTAAAGTGTTATTTTCAAACCTGTCTTGTAATTGTTTTGCTACAGAGACGGTTCGGGAATTTTATAATGATAAATTATCTTGATTTTCCTTCAGAATTTTCATATTTTTCTTTATTTCGTCTAGATCAGATTGATCTAAATTGCCTGAAATATATTTTATGACGGAACCAAGACCATTAAATAATCCACGCTTAACTCGTTTAAATTTTAACATTTCATATTTGTCTAAAAGCAAATTGTATTCATGTTCAAGTTGTGTCATCAACGTATCATCGATTCTTTGTTTTGCAAAATAGACATTTGACGTTATTTGCTTGATATTTTCATTAATGAGAGTGAGATTTATATGAAAAAATGTCTTATGGTACGCTTTTAGTAGATAGGCGTTACCTAGCTCTTGCTTAAAATATGGTGCTTTATTCTCGATCAGCTGGATCTCTAGGCCGGCTAGTTGAAGGGCCTGGATTAGGATCCTGAAAGTTAAAAATTTTGCGTTGCGGTTTCACTCTATTCAGTCTATGCTTTTTTCCTTTAGTGCGCAAATTAATATGGACATTTTCTTGTTCGTAAGAGGTCTCTTTAGAATACAGGGGTTTTGTTTTATGTGAACGATCTAATGAAGGTTTAAGATATACTGGACCTTCTAAGGTTGGAATTTCCTTATTTCGATTTTGATTAATTTTTTCTAGTCTTTCCGTTGCCTTATCTTGTACACGGTTCGATAGTTCTTCATAAAAAGGTAGTAATTCTCTGTACCGTTTCTCGTTATATTCATCATATAATTTTGTGGGGGTATCGATCGTAAGGACCGTATAATAATGAAAATGGGGTATATGTGGTCGTAGAATGGACACTTTGGTTATAAATTAAGATAGTTGTCGTCATTAGAT